GACATGTCTTATCAGGCTGATTAATGCCCAACTTAGTCACAAGATATAAGTGCCACAGAGAGGTTTCCCAATAGTTTCTTAAAATGTGTGTTACTTTAAAAAGGCAGCTTCATTCAGCTGCACAAGACCCCTCTGGAGAAGTGCAACACGAACAAGGCAGAGGAGCCTTGTACTTTCCTAACGGCTGCTGCCAGTTACCTGTCAAATACCACCAGCTAACATCATACACTTAATAGTTTGAGTCAGCAGTGACCTTAAAGTCTTGATATTTAGTCTCTCTCTAGCTTTTGATCTTTTAAGGTCAATTCTGCTCACACTGTCCTCTGTGGAATTCAAAATACACTCTTTTTGGAGTTAACTCTACAAACCAAAAAAAATTCCCATTTGCACGTAGGGCTTTATTCACTATGGGTCATGGGTAGAGCCACCACATTAACCATCTCCTTGCCTTTCACAAAACACACTATTTATGCAAGAACAACCTTCTAAATCCATGCACTTTAACCAGCAAAAATAGCACGCTAGCTACTACAGACGACTTCTAACCACGCGGTGTCTATTGCCTACACTGAGCTTTGCAGAGCAACGATCAGCCCTTCCAGCGGGATGAGATACAGGTTACGCTCAGCTTCATCCACCCGCAGCAGGGATCAGAATGATGTGCGGACACAGACTCCCCAATCTGTAAGATTGTACAGTAGGTATGTTTATTCAGCGCTGGGCAGCACGAGGGGGGTAGTCCCACCAAAGTCATGCGCACCACAACACAGCAGCTTGTCCTGTTTACATGTAGCAAAGTGTTAGATATACATGAGGCTTCCCAATACGCCTGTACATAGGCATAACCTGTCCCTGCTTTGTATTAAAATTAGTTTCAAGAGGTCATTTCCATAAGTCCCTCCCGACTGCTCATGCTCAGTGATTTGAGTCGGTGGTCTTTAGGGGTCGTTTACTTCATCCACTCCTCTTCTTCACCTTGTCCTTTTGGTGAATTCCAGCTTATACCCCCCCCTTATTCCACTGTCAGAACAACACAGCCGGTACCAACCAGTTCCCCATCCTTGGCTATCCTCATATTGACAAAGTGCCGGACGCTTTGTTCTCCTACCTGCCTTCCGAGGCCTGTAACAAAGATGGGCCATTTGCTACTTATCTCCCCTCTTCCACATTCCCTACAGTGTTAGTTTCTTATCTATAGTTTACTTCATATGATTAGTAAGTTAATCTAAAACACAATGCTAGCAATTTAAGATGGATCTCCAGTTGGCTTCACAAAGGTCCTTTTGTTAACCCTGTAGCCTCCCTTCAAGAAGAGGAGGAGGGAGGAAGCGTGCCATCTTCAGTCGCTGACATAATGCCTTCTCTGCGAAGGGCAAGAGTAACCCTGCGACACCAAGGAGAAAGCTCCCAGCCACCCGTGCCGTGCCGCAAAGCGCCGCAGGGAGCCAGGCAGAGCGGTCACCTCCAAAGGACCTGCTGCTCCCCTCAGCAGCTCTTGGCTCCCACTCCTGGGCACACCCATCACCGCAACCACGTCGAGTCGCGGGACACTGCGCCAAGCACAGCCCGACATCAGGGCGCTGCCTGAGAGGAGAGCAAAAAGGAGGATCGGAGCCTGGCGAAGGCTTCCCGAGGAGTCTGGGCAAGGCTGCAACCCGGAGACACATTTGCAGTTTGCACACCACAGTTGGGCACCGTGTACCGCAGCTGTAACTGCTATCGAGCTCAGCAGCAGCTAGAAGTCATGCCCACCACACAAGCTAACTGCATAATCAGATCCTGCTGGTTTCTGATCTGTGCCAGGCAGTAAGGATACAACCCAGTAAGGCCAGTTCCCTTCACAGGTGAGGCACAAGATGCACAGCTAAGATACAGTCCCTGCAGCCTGCACTCAGCTGAGCGCCGTGCCAGCACAGCAGGGGCTCTGCACACACACCATGCACGCTCCAGCACCTTGGCTTTGGCTACACCCATCCTGGTCCCCCATCTGAGTGAGCATCCCCCCCACGAAGCATCCCCCCTGCCACGAACCAAAAAAAAGCCCTCCAAAACATTACACATCGCTACAGACCCTGAACAGCTCCTATCAGACACCAGCAAGCTTTTGGTTCGGAGGCAAAACATCCTCCAAAATACATCTAGTTTACCTGCACCAAAAATACTCTACAAAGGGAACCCGCATGCTGTAAGCAGGGATGATTGGGGGATTTCCAAAACCCTTCCATCGCCCTGAGCCAAAATATTAATGTAGTGGGACAGGGGGAGAGCAAAGCAAGAGTCAGGTCTGTCTGCCCTCACATACACACGGTTACGTGATGTGGATATTCAGCATCTCCTGCTATGTGCCACATTTAAAGCTGTGTTTAGAATTTTCTTTCAAGAAAGTTTAAGGAAAACACAGGTGCAGACTGAGCAACCACAAACCAGAGCTATCACATCCCCTAGAATTGAACAGCAGCCATACCATAACAGTTTAAAAGGCCTTGACCTTTGTCTTCTCTGTTTAGTTAGTCCCTGCCTTTTCTTTTTTAAATGTTACTTATTAACTGAAAAGCTCTAGTTTTCTGCTATGTGTAGGAAGTTAGACTTGGTTAAACTACTTTTCCTTTTTCAACACCCCACCCCATCCCCCCAAAAAATTAACCAACTCTGCCAATGAGGCAGCACTGCCACTGCTGAGATGCCTAGGTATTGTGTTGAGCAGGTATTTTGGACTTGAAAAAACACTCATTTTTTTTTCCCCTCATACTTGTCTACCAGAATAAGTGGACCAGGCTACTTACAAGCAGTTTTGGAGAATGTCAGATACCTGCATGGCTTGTAATAGTAGCTTAAATTGGCCTGCTAAAGCTGTTCTCTCCAGCCACACACCCCTCTTTTCTGATGACCACCTCTGGGCAGGAACATTGCTTTCGGTTACAAGACAGCCCCTGAAGCATCACCATTTCCAGCCCAGCACAGAAACATGAACCAGCTCTGCTTCTGGCTTACCTTCATGCGCCAGGCTAAAAGCTGCAGAAAATAAATTAGCAAAGGCTCCTGCCTTGGAGACGCAGCAATAGCTGCAAGCAGTCGCGGCACTAGCTATCCAATTTTAATCTGCCAGAATAAAGCGGCAGTTATGAATTTTATCTAGCTGTTCAGTAAAAACAAACTGATTGCCCAATAATTTACCTACAATACACACCACAGTAGATTATGTGTAACAGCCTAGGCATGGACAATTTATATGATAAAAGATGAACACACTCAACTTTGTGTCTCTCGCGTTCAATCAAATCCTGCGCTTATAACATTGTAAGAATGAATTGCTCGATAAAACTGAAGAGAAGGTAAATAATGTTTCAGCTCACAAGTATTTACAGGGTTTTTTTTTCCCCTCCCTACCATAGTATTTGCCAGCATGTACTCTACCTATAGGCCTATTTCAAGGTCACTGTCAGTCTGGTTGTATTAAACATTTTACTTACTGTTCTACCTTCTTGCATCCTAAGATACTTTAACAGATTAACATCTGTGGTTCCAGAGTAGATTTAGAAAGTACACAGAAATATATTCTCAAAAGGCTCCAAATATATATGTGTGTACCAATATATATCACTATCTGTACATGCACACTTCACTATAGCATTGAAAGAGAACTGTTCCTTTCATTTTCTTCCACTCCATTTTATAGCAAATAAAGTATCTGCTTTTGAAGGCAGTTAATTTTTGACCCTGAAGACCAATATGCAGCAACAAAAAACAGACAATGTTGACATAGTACCCAAATTTATCATGCAAAGACACGTCTTCTTAACAGAAGAAGAAAATAATGGTTTAAAGTTGAACAGGGCAGGGGAAAAAAAAAAAAACATGTGGGAATTGGCTCAGTGCTCTGCATCCTGCAGCCCAAATCACAGAATTGTCTGAGTTGCTGAAAAAAGGTACTGCTAAGTCAAGACACTACCAACAGTGCAAAGAATTAAAAAAAAAAAAAACACCACACAAAAGAGCCCCAGCCTTCCACAAGCAATTTTCAGGCTAAAATAGATGAGAAGGGGGCCTGGCAGTTATCATGCATAAAGCAAAGGCTCAATAAGGCATTTTTAAAAGCAAGTTGCTGAGCGCTGCAGGTTTACCTACCTATTTACCTCCTAGCCAGAAGCATCCATTAACAGTCCTCTCCAACTCAAGATCTATTTATGTATACATAAATAGATCTTGATACACCTATTTATGTATACATAAATAGAAGTGTAAGTGACACTTTTTTTTGTGAAATTTTGTTCTGCCTGTCACTCACCATTGTGTCGCTGAACAGAGGCATTCTTGGCTATCAGGTATCACATGGTGCACTGAATTAATCAAACTTAATCCAGGGTTTCTGGAATCAATCCAGTCACTATTGCTATTTCAGTCTGAAGTTCAGTACCCAATGGCCAGTAAGTGTACAGTAAAAATCCATATGCAAGTACAGCAGTGGGGCCATTTAGGTCACATCATCACCATTTCTTGGCCTACAGTTTCTTCATGCTTATATACACCTAGCTTTAAAGACATTTTTATCTATCAAACCAAGAGAAGTAAACTCTCCATAAAAACCACTAGTACCATGAAATTAAGGAGTACAACCTGTCGGCAGGCTTCTTTGAGAGTAAGCAGTATTCATCTGTTCTCCCTTCTTCCCATTTTAACCCACTCTCGGTTAGAAGCTACAGGTATAAATTCCAAGATAGCGTGCACTGTTTTTTTCCCCCCCTACTGTACCATGAAGCACCTTACTCAAAAGCAAAATACTCCCTGCAACTCCAAATTACTCATTTTGATGAGCTTGTACCTGGTAGTTCCCCTCACCACCACCCCAAGCTACTTCCAGTGACTTTGAGGGTATATTTTCCCACAAAGCAACAACAAAAGACACCAGATCCCATTTGAAATTCACTGCTTAAAAGCTGCCACTCATCACATGAGGTCAACCAGATACCAGAGAAATTACTGTAAAGCTCAGCAAACCTTACTTCTGGCAGAGGGCTGGCCGGTTTGGTTAGGATTCCTCCCACATAAACAACATTGGGAAGCGTAGGTCTCGGAAACTCCAGCGCTACATCAGTACAAAGCATCCACAGGCTGGATCCATGGACCAAGTCATACATGGACCGTTCTGGCAGAACCTTGTATTTCTGCATTATCCTTTCGTACTTTGGCAGAACCAAAAAACTGACTCCAAATCTTGAAATAAGATAAACAACAGTATTTTTAATCCTCTCAAATAGGTTCATGTGATCTGTGAGCAGCGAGTTAAATTCTGGAACGTAAGACAGGGGAGCTGGAGCACCCACTTCGGCTGGGTACCAGAGGCCAGTGGAAAAGACAGCGTATTTAACCCCTAAAAGATGAGCTATAACAAATCCACACATCTCGTTGGGATCTACCAGGAGCAGGTCAAATTTTTCCTGTTTCAGGGCACGCATGAGGTTTTGGTTGCCAACGATCATGTCGCAGTTCTTGGAATAGTGGTCCAGGATATCGAACAGTTCGAGGGCTGTCAGTCTCCCAGAGAAGATACTCCTCATCTTGGACTGGAGAAAATCATCCGAGGTGCTGCTGTTAAAGATCCCTGGGTAGCGCTGAAGTCTATAGTGATTAGATGGAGGAATCTCTCTGCCCTCAGAGAGGAGAAACACTGTCTGGTGACCTTGGTCATGCAAGGCTGAGGCCAGAGTCTTGAAAATATAAAGATGGCTTTCAAACATAATTGGCGGCACAACAACGATTTTGGCAGCCCTCGCTATCCCGACAGCACTCCACAGGAGAATGAAAGCTGGAGCGTACGGCTTCATAGCTGAAACGAGAAATAAAAGCATTACTTCAACAGGAAACGGGTTTGTCTGCTACCTGGGAATTTAAAAAAAAACAAACCCATGAGTTATTACGTGGCTGTCCCATGAAAGCTAATCACATCTCCCTAGTTCAAAGACATCTTCGCCATGGTCACAGGGAACAAGAGAGCATTTGGTAGTGCTTGGTTTCCAGCCAGATCTGCCTTTCCCCTCCCCTCCTTTTCCATCTGGCATTAAGGGTAGACAAGAGGCTTCTTCCAGCACAGATACCGATATGGCCCCTGCATTGAACAGCAGCAAAACCAACTGAGACAGTAAGGTTGGTACCCTCCACAGCAATACTGCACGCACCACTTCCAAATAATACACACCATCCAACAGCTGTTAAGTCAGCTCTGAAAACTAGATCCTGCTACACCTGGGCTTATATTTAAAAGCACAACTGCATTATTGTCATTGTAAGATATTAAGCAAGTAAGAAAGATGCTAAGTTTAAAGACCCGAAGGCTAAAATCCTGGATTTATTCACACGAGACCTAAAGGATGCACTGGTCATTTTCAGTGCACAGGCTATAAGATGGCTCTTATAAATACAATTCTGTCTTGTCCCCTCAACTGGAACTTCTAATACATCCATTTTAATTTGGCAGCTTGAGCACACCACACCCCACACTACTGTTAACGTGGTTGTGAGCATTTCTATCGCAAAGTCTCCTTTGATCGCCGCCCACAGCTTTCAAGCTGTCCTCCAAGTTGCAACTCTGTTCTGATGTAAGGGTAACTTCTCCTGCAGTTTTCTTTTCATATAAGCAGACAGGAACAGAGAAGATACAAGATTTTTTTTTTCTCCTAAAAAGACATGCAAATTCATGCAATGTTTTTCTTTAGTACCACACCGACCAGACACTTGGGTGTGGAAAGTCAAAAATGTGGCAGGAAGATGCTACCATTGAGTAAGAACCAACTCAACTACTTCAAGCTTTCAAAAATTACGCTTTGTGCATGAGAACAAGTGAAATAATGGGAGTTATTACTACAGATGTGCGCATCGCAACTTCTGCTGAAGCACTTTGAGGAGCACTTGATTCTGAACTTACTTAAATCAGCACTTGAGCACAATTGCTAACCTATGCTGAAAACTCCACCACCATCCTAAACACACAGTTCCTGACAGTTGCAGCCTGCTGGGGAAAGGGAAAAGACCTTCCCTCCCCCCCACTGTGTTTTGGATGGTAAAGCCTATAAAGCACTGTATGCAGCAGATGAAAGCAAAGTGCACGCAAAGCACGGAGAGGGCATGGCAGAAAGCTCGTCAGTCACTTTAACCCTCCTAGGACAGAGAAACAAGTACAAGCCAAACCAAACAGTCTGCTCTCATGCCAAACCAATCCACACAGAAACCTGAGCCTGTTCCAGTGTCCTTTATAAATATGCACAACAGGTAACACTGCTACTCACTCCTCTTTATCTCCTTACAGCGTAGTCTTACAACCCTCCTACAACAGATTGCTCAGGACTTTTTTTTTTTAATGTTTTATGGGTTACCAGCTCACCAACAGAGCATCTCATATTTGTATTGCGACCATGTAATACTGAGCCTTCTGAATGATGCCCCAGACTTCTACTCCAGCTTCTGTCAGTAGCTTGACTTTGAAATATTTATAAGCATGCACCAAGCCCAAGTAAAGTTGGAAAATCACCGCAAGTTTCACTGACTATTGCCATCAAGTTTTGCATATGAAAAGTTTTCTTACTGGATTTGAAGCCTCCTCCACACTTGCCTTCCGCAAGTGTTAGCCACTGCCTAGGAGATCACCGACCACCACCCACTTACAAAACTCTACCAATTTTAAATTAATTATCACCAGCAGTAGCATGTATACACACAGGCTGTATGCGCAAAAGAGTTCATTCGGGCGGACGTACCTTATTTTTGTGGGTTTTGTTTTTTCTTTCCCAAGACAAAGCCCATAGCCCAAAGACACACAGCAAAACCTTATGGTGCCCACAGGCAAGTAGCGAGGAACTGAAACCTAGAGAATTTGAGACCTCCACACCACGACCAGATTCACAGGCTGACAAAGCATTCTGGGAAGAAGTTGGAGGCTTCACTGTTTCATAGAATCATTAAGGTTGGAAAATACTTCCAAGATCATCAACCCAACACCACCATGACTACTAAACCACATCCCTAAGCACCACACTTACACGTTTTTTGAACGCCTCCAGGGATGGGGACTCCACCACCTCTCTGGGCAGCCCATTTCAGTGCTTGACACCACTCTTTCAGCGAAGAAATTTTTCCCAACGTCCAACCTAAACCTCCCCTGGCACAACTTGAGGCCGTTTCCCCTCATCCCATCACCCATTACCTGAGAGCAGAGACCAACATCCCCCCGGCTCCCCCTTCCTCTCAGGCAGTTATAATGAGCAATAGGTCTCCCCTCAGCCTCCTCTTCTCCAGGCTGAACATCTTCAGGTCCCTCAGCCGCTCCTCATAGGACTTGTGCTCCAGACCCCTCCCCAGCTTTGTTGCTCTCCTCTGGACATGTTCCAGCAATGCAAGGTCTTTCCTGTACTGAAGAGCCAAAACTGTACCCAGCATTCAAGGCGAAGCCTCACCAGTGCCAAGTATAAGGGCACAATCACTTCCCTGGTCCTGCTGGCCACACTGTTCCTGATACAAGCCAGGATGCCATTGCCCTCTTGGCCACCTGGGCACACTGCTGGCTCATATTCAGTCGGCTGTGAAACAACACCCCAGGACCTTTTCCACCAGGCAGCTTTCCAGCCCCTCTTCCCCACACCTGTAGCATTGCATGGGGCAGTTGTGACCAAAGTGCAGGACCCAGCACCTGCCCTTATTAAACCTCAGTTGACCTCAGCCCACCGATCCAGCCCGGATCCAGCAGTTTCTAGGCACAAAGCTCAATTTTTGAGATAACACTTCAGGGGAAGAGGGAGGAAATTACTTGCTGCAAATATTACCAGTAGCATATGAGAAGATCTATACTGCACCATTGTCTGACACCAAGGGAGATCCATTTGGATTTTAAGCTGCTTCAGTTATGGTGTTGGAGATTACCCTAAAACATTTCCTCCTCTGCAAATAGCTGTATTTGAATTGAACTAAACAGCAGTCCTATTCACTCTCCAATAAAGCTGGAAAAAGCATTCTTACTACATGAGAAACAGCTCACCTCCCAGCACAAAGGCCTGACCTGCCAGGGAGTTTAAGGTACTAAACTGCCTTTTTAGGTCTTTTTTTCAGGCCTTTGCTTTCACCAGAAGCTTTCTAGAAAAACCACAGCACCCCACATTGCTCAGCTGCCCTCCCAGGAGCTCCCAAATCAAAGGATGTGCCAGCACCAAGCCCCACTCACCATCCCACCTCACTTCCCTCTGTTGAACTCACAGGTTTCAAGCTGCAGAGGGTTGTGCAAGTGCAGAACTACACAGGCTTGGTGCAGCATTTGGCATTGGCACCAACAAGCCACACTCAGCTACCTTCAACAGGGCCCCACTGCAGGGTAACACTCATTAGGTTAGCGTGGTTTTAAAAAAAGTAAATAATGGTTCTGTCACTGAAGTACCTAATAAAAATGATTAATCAAACTTGAAAAAAGCCCATTATTGATTATACCTCCCCATGCTAGAAGCATTCCCACGGTATTAAGTTACTGCTCCTGTCAACACTAGCGCTGTTACAAAACCACGAATGGAGGTGTAGGATTGGGAAACTCAGAAACAGTTAATGTTTCTATCAGCGGTATAAATCACAGGTGCCAGGAGCCTAAGGCCTAGTCGTGACCCAGGCACTGCCAGATGCAGGCATAGCAGCTGTACTTTGATCTCCTGATCCGATACCAGCCCGGAGCACATCACAGGAAGATACAATCCTTAGCCCTAAGGCGTATTTTCCACAGCCAAGGTTACACACGTGCCACCACAAGCCATGGGAACTACAGCCATGCTGCCCTGGGATGATGGCAGTACCACCCCACCACTTCCTATCCCCCCCCCCACCAAGCAGCAAGGTTTGAAACAGGAATCAATCACATCGGATATTTTACTCTTCAGGAAGGTACTATTAAAGCACTACCTACCTAACGTGAAAATCTGTCAGTGTAACTACAAGCAGTTCACCAACCATTAATTTTTCTCCTCTTGAGGTGTATCAGCATCAAGAGATGACACACCACGCTTCCCCAGGGAGCCTGTAGCTTGCGGTATCTTCAGAACTGATAAAAGATAATCACTTTTCAAAGATGTATCACGCAACTCGCGCAACTTTTCAATGCAAACATCTTCCACAGGGACAGGAAAATACAGGTATGAGACCTGCCAAGCCAGAGAGATATTAAACACACAACGCTATAGAGAAATGCCGATTAAGGGATATTTTTACTGGGAAAAACAGCATTGATCTTCTATTGAACTTCTGGCAGGAACCTGTGGGATGATCCCTCATCATTTCATCCCCTGGCCAGACAGAAGCAGGGAGCTTAGAAGGTTTGTATTTAGCAAGAACAAGGGCAGTACATAGCAGCACTTTGTACACCAATTAATCACAAGCATAATTCCCAGGGGTGGGGGGGGGGGGGGAGAAGGTAGGTGCTCAGTGCCATCAGCAGAGCAACAACACGTGACTACACAAGCTCAGCTCCAGGCTCAGTCCTGGCCACCCCTTCACTCTGACCATCCTCAATGAGCTCCTCCAGCACATTGGGTATTTCCACCAAGACCAGGAGAGCTGCAGGAGCTTGCCTGCTTCAATAGTAAGTTCTGATCCGGCTCATCTCCAAAAGCAGCACCTAGGAAGACGGGGCTTTACGGGGTCAGGAGAATTGCAAGGTGGTGCTCACCTGGAAGCCAGCTCAAAGCCAGAGCACAAGGACTCTTCCCACCAACTTCCAGTCATACTCCAGCAGCAAACTCCCAGAATAAATCACTTGCCAGAAGAAATTTAAAAAGAAAGTCAACATGCAATGCAACTGCTT